TATGATCCTAATCCTGCAGCTCTTCAAGCTCTTAGAGGCTCCAACATTGAGCTCATGATAGGTGTCCCAAACTCCGATCTTCAAAGCCTCTCAAACCCTTCCAATGCACAGTCATGGGTACAGAGAAATGTGCTGAGCTACTGGCCTAGTGTCAGATTCAGGTACATAGCTGTTGGGAATGAAGTCAGTCCTGTTAATCCAGGCACAGCTTCCATTGCTCAATATGTTCTGCCTGCCTTGGTGAACGTATTCAACGCAATTAGATCTGCAGGTCTCCAGGACCAAATCAAGGTTTCAACTGCAATTGACATGACCCTTATAGGAAACTCATACCCTCCATCTGCTGGTGCCTTTCGCGGAGATGTCAGGAAATATATAGACCCAATAATTGGCCACCTCACATATGCAAAAACACCTTTGTTTGCTAATATTTACACATACTTCAGCTATGCTGGTAATCCGAGGGACATATCTCTTCCCTATGCCCTCTTTACTTCCCCGTCTCCTGTCATATGGGATGGTTCCCGGGGTTACCAAAACCTTTTTGATGCTATGTTGGATGCCTTATACTCTGCTCTTGAAAGAGCTGGACAATACTCTGTGGATGTGGTTGTTTCAGAGAGTGGATGGCCCTCTGATGGAGCGTTTGCAGCAACATTTGATAACGCACGCACATATTACTCAAATTTGATAAAGCACGTCAAAGGAGGTACCCCAAAGAGGCCTGGCAGAGCCATAGAGACTTACCTATTTGCCATGTTTGATGAGAACCAAAAGCAGCCAGAGTTGGAGAAACATTTTGGGGTTTTCTTCCCTAACAAACAGGCAAAATATCCACTAAATTTCGGCACAAAAAGGATCTCAGATATTTCTGCTGAGAACAATACAACTGTTTTCCTCAAGAGTGATATGTAAGGTTACAAGGTCTTTGTTTCTGTGTCCTGAACTTGAATAACTCATAGCTGCAGAGACAAATGCTGTCTTGATCTACTGCAGCAGAGAGAGTTTGTGTATTTTTTTTTTCCCTTTTTCTATGGTTAATTAATGTTAACTCTCGTCTGGTTTGATGCTTTTAATTGTTCTATGCTGCAAAAATTGAAACAGGGACTAAGAATATTTTTCTCACAAATATATGTCCTTGCTCTAAGTTTATTAATTATGACAGAAGATTACATAATATAATTAATTTTTTTTCTTATTAGGTTTTCATAACTTGTCCAAAGTGGAGGAGTTGTTTTTTGGGGTATGCTATCCTCCCAACCAACTTCTTTCATGGTATTGGAACATTGACTTCTCTCAAGGTTCTATCACTACAGGGCAGCGGACTCAGTGGCACCTTAACCGACCAAGGTTAATTACAAATTTAAAGAAACAAGAACCATTGTCCAAATTTAATTATTTTTACTCAATATAATTTCTTTTAATCTACTTGACTAACTTTGTAAGTGGTGTATATGGTCACAGGCCTCTGTGAATTGACACATCTTCAAGAGTTGGATGTTAGCTACAATTATTTCAGGGGAGTCTTGCCTTCATGTTTGGCAAATTTGACTTCTCTCCGGAGTTTAAGCCTCGATTCAAATAAATTTTCTGGAGATATAGCTCTATCACCCCTTAACAAATTGACATCCCTTCATTACCTATCCCTTTCAGACAATCACTTCCAAACTCCCATCTCCCTTCAACCATTCTTCAACCATTCAAAACTCAAGCATATTTATGCTGAAAACAACGAATTTTACGTAGATACCAACATTGAATTCTTGGAACCAACTTTCCAACTAAAGACCTTAGTTTTGTCTGGTCATAGAGGTTGTGGAGGAATTCCAAACTTCATCTACTCTCAACACAACCTCGAAACTTTAGACCTCTCGCACCTTAACCTAACTGGAGAGTTTCCCATTTGGTTGTTAGAAAATAACACAATGTTGAACGAACTTTTGCTGGTTAACAATTCCCTCTCTGGACCTATTAAGTTGCCAGCTCATTCTCATATGAGTTTGGAAGATCTAGATATCTCCAAAAATTTCTTGGATGACCATATTCCAATGGAGATCGGAGCATATTTGCCAAGTTTACAATATTTAAACATTTCAAAAAATTCTCTTACTAGTAGCATTCCCCGTTCAGTTGGTGATATAAAGTTGCTAAAGTATTTGGACTTATCTCACAATAACTTATCTGGTGGAATACCTGAGAAGTTAACCATGGGTTGCCCATCATTATGGTCCCTTATTCTATCAAACAACAACCTGCAAGGCCAGATTTTCTTTGAGAAATTTAGCTTATTCCAGTTGGAGGAATTACAATTGATTGGCAATCACTTTTCTGGAAGTATCCCAAAAAGCTTATCAAACTACTCTTATCTGTCTTCAATAGATTTCAACAATAACAATCTCTGGAAGGATCCCGAGTTGGATGGGAAATATATCATACTTGCAAGAAATTATCATGCCCAATAATGGTCTTGAAGGTCCAATTCCTATTGACTTTTATCAGCTTCAAAATCTTAAAATTCTTGACCTTTCAAATAACAATATTTCAGGGAAATTTTTTTTATTGATAGGAGTACAAGGGGTACCCCAAACACATTTACATTGAGAGATACTCCGCTATTAGCTTATAATTCATTGATTTATACCACAAAATAGAGATATAAGAAGTCAAATCAAGGATTAATTCCTTAGCCTACATGCTTCCATTGGTGATTTTAGCCATGAATTCCAATCAAGATCAGAACAGATGCTAGCTTTAATCCAAAAAAAAGATCGGCATTTGACAAGCTCTATTACCTTTTCCATTGTAGTTGCCTCCTCTTGAAAGATTTGGCCATTTCTCCATAACCATAAGGACCATACAATGCAAAACCAGACCACTGCCCATGCCTTTTGTAAGCATTTGCTAGATATTAAGCCAAAATGTTGTGACATATGTTTCCAGCCTGCTCTTTGTGATACCACTTGTATGCCCCACCAATTGTAGCATGAAGTCCAAATCAGCCATGATTTTTCACATTCAAATAATAAATGATCTGTGGTCTCAGTCACTTGTCCACATTGTGCACAGGAGAAGTCACTATTTTGAATTTTAACTCCTCTCTTAAACAAATTTTCCTTTGTGGGTATTCTATGTTGTAGTGCTCTCCATACAAAGGCTGTCACTTTAAATGGAACGTGCTTATTCCAAATTGTAGTATAAACAGCAGCTTCTGCTTCCCTTGGTTTTGATGACAGCATTTTATATGCCGATCGTACTGAGTATCCTTCCTTTTGTCCATTTTTCCAAATCCAATTGTCTTGTTGCCCTTGTTTTATCTGCACTCCTTGTAATTCCAATTGAAGTTCTTGCAAAAGATTATGTTCCCATGCAAAAAGAGGCCTCCTCCATCTCCATCTCCATTGCCACTCCCTCTCACTCCAATCTCCTATATCAGAAATTAAAGCATCCTTATCCTTCGATAGCCTATATAATCTATCATATTTTTCCTTAAGAGGGCCATTCCCTACCCATATGTTATGCCAGAAAAGTGTTTCACTTCCCTCACCAACTACTTTGAACACATTCATCCTAAACCATCCCTCACTGTTGTAATCCTTATCTAGCTTCCATAAATCAGACCACCACCTTGAGCTACTCCCTCTCCATGGACCTCCCTCCCATTCATTTTTCCTATTAATATTATACTTCTCTGCTAATACCTTCCTCCACAATGAATCTTCTTCTTTTAACAACCTCCATCTCCATTTGCCTAATAGCACTCTATTGAACAATTCTACCTTCCTTACACCTAGGCCTCCCTCCTCCCTCTCTCTGCAAATTTTCTCCCATGACACCCAAGCAATTTTGCGTTTATCCTCTCCCCCCCCTCCCCACAAGAAATTGCGTTGAATTGAAGTAATAAGATTGGTTACCTTTTTGGGTGCCTTATAGCATGAGAAGTAATAGACCGGGATACTTGAAAGGATAGAATTTAAGAGCACAATGCGGCCTCCAAAGGATAGATTATTGCATCTCCAACTAGATAGTTTTTTCCTCAAGTAGTCAACTGTAGGTGTCCAAGTAGATACTTTTTTCTGATCTGCACCCACCAGAACTCCCAAGTATTTAAATGGTATTGAACCTACCACACAATTCAATTTCCTAGCAAAAGTCTCGAGTTCAGTCTCATCCATATTGATACCATACAGGGCACTTTTGTAGAAATTCACCTTAAGACCAGAGACAAGCTCAAAGCTTCTCAGAATGCATTTAATAGCCCACACATTTTGAGTTGAGGCTTCACAGAAAAATATTGAATCATCCGCAAATTGGAGATGGGAAATCGCAAAATTCCTCTCACCAACTATTGCTCCTTTATATAAATCCAACTCCACAGCGTTTTGAATCAATCCGTTCAGTGCCTCAGCCACCATTAAAAATAGAAATGGAGCAAGGGGATCACCTTGTCGAAGCCCTTTTGAAATTGGGAATTCTTCTGTTGGGCTTCCATTTACTAGCACTGACACCGTAGCTGATGATAGGCATTCTTTGATCCATGCCCTCCACTTTGTACTAAAGTTGAACTTTGCCATCATACAATCCAGGAAGGACCAGTTAACAGAGTCATACGCCTTTTCGAAGTCAGCCTTGACCTCTTGGCACTCGGGTTCAGTTTGCTTGATGGATTACTTTTGAAGGTCCTATATGTGAGGGCTATTCCCATCATTGTTCTGGCTACAATTCCAGTAGATAGGCTTGTTAGGACCATCTAACGAAGTTTCTAGTAATTATTCTTGTATCATAGCATGATATGTTGTATATCTAAGAAAAAGTAATTGGTCTTAGCCGATCACCACTAAACTAAGTAGAAAAGTGGCTGAGGTAGTGTAGTACTTCAGCCTAATTATGATTAGTCAACCGATTAATCGCTTGTTTTACAACACTAGTGGAACTTACCTTTTCATTTCCATCATTGTCTCTCTTTTTGTTTTGTATTGGTTTTAAGGCAAATATGAGAAGGGTAAATAACACCAATAAGAGTTTAATTGAGTTAGTACTTGTCAATTTAAAATTAAAATCATGATTCAAACTTTTACAATATTAAGTGGTAAACCTTTTAATGTATGAAAAAACAAAAGAGCAAATGAGGCAGAGGAAAAGAGTTAAAAATGGAAAGGTATGTTCCACTAGTTGTTAGAACTTTAATTTTGTAACTAATAAGAGTTTAATCAAGTTAATACTCATTAATTTCAAAAATCTTTAATTTGAAGTTAAGATCAGAAGTCAAAACCTTTAGAATGTAAGATAGTTAACTTCTAATGTATGAAAAAAGAAAAAAAAACTTTAAATTTTTAAGGTCAAGAAGAGTTAACCATGAAATGGAGTTAACTTGCCGTTAAAACAACTTAGACGGACTTGGATGGAAGGATGTTCGCTGCTTATTTTCAATAGGATTAATAACAATAAAATATCCCCCAACTTTATAAAAAGAATCATTATCATCCTTCCACTTTAAGAGAATTAATAAAAACCCCTCAGCTTTTGAAAATGGGCAATCATAATCACTCTATTACCAGCCGTCAAAACACCGTTCATTCTTTCCAAAAATAGTCCAAAATTTAATAGTAAATAACATTGTTGGTCCCTCAGATTTTAGTTTCAATACACTTTGATACTCAAACTTCAATTTTACTCAATTTAGTCCTAGTGTTAACTTTTCGTATTACAATATTATCCCTAAACTTCTGAAAAGTTGCGCTTGAGTTTCAAATTTTGTAAGGGTTTTTAAATTTGTGTACTTGAGTCTCAAATTTTCTTAAGGAACAGATTCAAAATGTAT